GTTCCTCCCATGCTCTTCTGGGGAGCTAAGAAAATGTTTATCTCCCTGAGCCTGGCCTTCATAATTCCATTCCATCACATCTAGGTAATATAAAAGCCATGATCAGAGAACTCTACTTTCTATTTCAGGAACTAAAATAATAATGGTATTTATTTATTTATTTATTTATAGTTTTTATTAAATTTATATGCTGCCCATCTCCCCCAGAGGGTGACTCTGAGCGGCTCACAATTAAAATCTGAAACAATCAAAACAATAAAATATACATATACATATTAAAGTAACTAACAACAATTCTAGATATACCTGGAATATACTACAACAGGATTTTTAAAACTGTGTTTGATGGGATTTCATAAGGGAGAAGGAGGAGGAGGAGGAGGAAGAATGCTCGCTTGACTGCAGCTTATTTTTTATCACTAGAGCTTTACCTCTTGATCAGGTACAGGATTTTTTTTAAACTAATAGGCTTGAAAAAGTTTGAAAAATCCCTGCCTGAAAGAATCTGTACTTCTCTATATATGCTAGCATTCCTGGGGTTCACAAGGAAACCAAATCTTATCTCTCTCTCTCTCTCTATATATATATATACACATCTCAGTAGCTCCATGCAAGTGATACAAATAGTATTGAACTTAACACACACAGATTCTCTGCTGTAGAAAGTTGTAATATACTCCTCACTAATGACAGAGTAATGGCTCATCACTGCCCAAATAGTGATTTATTTTGGGGTTCAGAGGGAAATTGGGGTCATTCCTGAGGCTCTGATGTTCAGCCGAGACCCTGGTTGCTGCCTAGAATGAGAAGTGGTGATCGCCTTGGACTGCATTGTCCTGTGTGGATTCTGTCGGTGGATCTTAGAGAGTTCCCTGCCTTTCAGAGGAACTCCAGGAGATGAAGTGGCAGAACAGACACCTAGAGCACTTCAACCATTTTCCACTCTTATCACTTCTGCACATAGCCATTTTGTGGTCCTGAGGAAGGGGGGCTGGAGGAACAACTGCAGTGTTGCTGTGAAAATTATTCTAAGCAATTGTCAAAGAAAGTTGCTCAGTTGCACTCTAAGACTCCAGCTGTGCAAGTATTTTGGATTTGACTGAGATATGGTCTAGCATGGTTACCTGGGAAGAGTTTGAACTGTTGGTCCTGAAGCAGTGGATAAGGCCCTCAGGGCCATGTGCATTAAACCCATATCCCTTCTAGTTGGTTAAAGACTCCCAGGTGACAACATGTGGTTGGATCCAGGTAATGGTAAATGCACCCTTGAGGAAGGGGGTGGTTCCTTTGGCTCTTAAAGAGGTGGTGGTTCATCCCCTCTTCAAGAAACAACCCTAGTTTTTATTGTTTTTTCTCAACATTTAATAAAGTTATTAAAAAAAAGAAAGAAACCACCTTTGGATTCAATAGTATTAGACAATTTTCATCCAGTCTCCAACCTCCCCATTTTAGAGAAGGTTGTTGAGAAGTGGTTGATTTGCAGCTCTAAATAATCTGAAGGAAACAGATTATTTGCACCCCATTGTAGGGTTTAAAACCATGACATAGTACTGAGATGGCACTAATCACACTTGCAGATTACCTTAATCAGGACTGAGATGGGGGTAGTGCATCTGTTCTAGCCCTCCTTGGTCTCCCCACAGCTTTTGGTACTATTAATCATGGTATCCTATGAGGGTTAGGAGTGGGAGACATGGTATCATAGCGATTCCTTCTTCCATGGCTGGTTCCAGTCAGTATTAGTGGGGAAAAGAGATCTAGCCTGAGAGTCTTGCTTTGTGGGGTTCCTCAGGGCTCTATTCTTTCTCTGCTTCTATTTAATATTTACATGAAACCATTGGATGAGTTCATCTGTAGGTACAGTGTCAGGTAGTGTCAGTATCCTGACGATACCCAGTTATACGTCTTTACCCTGGGCAACCCAAGGATGCTGTAAGATTCTTCCCCAGTGCCTGGAGGCTGTGGAGGTCTGGAATGGGAAGAACAGACTTTGGCTTAATTCAAACAAGACTGGCTGTGGGTTTCTGGGTCCCCCAGCTTAGGAGACACTCTATCATTAGTTTTGGATGGGTTTACTCTTTCCCAGATAGAACTGGTGCACAATTTGGGAATCGTCTTGGAAGAGAAGGTAGCAGCTGGGGCCAAGGGGGCCTTTGAACAAATCTATTTTGAATGCAATGGATCAAAAAGCCCTGCCTTGATCACCTCCTGTCTGGACTACTGCCATGTGTTTTATGTGAGGGTGCCCTTGCAGACCATCTGGAAGCCTACTTTGTCCATAATGCAGTGGCGAGGTAGCTACCACTACTTTGCCATCTGCACTTGCTCCCAATAAAGTACCATGTGCTATTCAAGGAGCTAGTTATCACCTGTAAAGCCCTTAATGGTACAGGGCTGGGTTATATGTTAGACTACCTGTCTTCAATTGTCTCTGCTTGCCCTATAAGATCCAGCAGAGTGGTCATGCTTCAGATCCCTTCTATGGAACAATATCACCTAATGGGACCTTGGAAGTGTGTTGTCTATATCCTAGCACCTGCCCTGTGAAAAAGCATTCCCCTTAAGTTTTTAATGGCCCTGACCTTGTTGGCTTTCTGTAAGGCCCTGAAAACCTGTCCCCACCCCCCGGCATTGGGTTAGAACATTGGATGAAGCTATCCAGAAATGAAATGACTGGAATGGGAATGTGGTTGGTCTAGGTTATCCTATATTGGAAATTTCTGTGTTTTGGTTTTGGCTTGTTTTTATTCTTTTAACCATATGTAAGCCACACAGAGTTGCTATTGTGGGTTGGGCAGCCATATAAATAATCTAAGTAAATATAATTACAATTTTAGGCAAATATTCCTGCGGATTAGTCCTAAAACAAGTTCTATGAAAAAGCCCATGTTATGCCACTATATCAGATGTGTGTCCAACAAGGCTCTATAATACAGGCATTCTTGCTAATCTTGTTTTTCAAGCTTTTAATGCCAGAATCTTGTTTGTAAAAATCCAGATGATCACTATTTATTTATTTATTTATTTTATTTATCATATTTATAGAGTTGCCCATCTCACCCAAGGTGACTCTCGGCGGCGTACAACAATAAAAAAAAAATACATAAAAACAACTACATATAAAAAACTGTAAAAACACACAATACAGGG